TCACCTGGTCCTACACTCTGTAGTACATCTCGTGTAAACACGTGTTTAATTACAAGGACTGTTATAATGCTAATAATGGCATGCATTTCAGCAGTTATGTAATGTCATATCACATGCCCCGATTGTAGGTAATTGGAAATATATGTGAGACAGTTATGTCATGAGCATGCTATTTGTAATTTTTTTGATCTTGATTTTTTGAGCTTACATCATTACTTTTGAAACTTTTGCCTTTTGTGTGCTAAAAATAGAAATTGTGAAAAAACTGACATCAGATTTTAATAAGCAAATGAAATCAATCATTTCAGTAAACAAGGTTAGATAGCAACGTCTGCTGTTCTTTAGTAGGTCATTTTATGCTGAAACTATGATAATGATATGGATTGTATTTTCTCTGTGCTTAGGAAATGTCCTGTTTTCCCTGCCTTCAGGAGAATCTACACTACTGAAAATAAGTTTTAGAAATTAATAATTTTGAGAACAAAAATTAAATACAGAGCATTATATGTGTTCATAGTTTCGTTTCTTCAAATATTATGGCCTCCCAATATGCAAGCCTATGTTTGGATTCCAGTAACATTTTGGGTTGGATACAATTAGAGGAGAGGGAGACTATATTATAGAATTATCCAGCATCTTTCTCCAATCTTTTATATAAAAATTCCTTCCTTCCATCTTCTTCTGATTAATCATCACCTAAGTATGTATGACCTAAAATAAGTTTTCCTGTAAACCAGACATTGGCAGAGCAGCATTGTGACCCACTTTAAAATAATGTTAAGAATTACTTTGACAATTGCCATTAACTTTTTAGATTGCCTAATCTCATTATGTGTTTCCATAAGTCATTTGGGTAAAACAGCCCAATTTTCTGAAATTTTTATTTTCTGAGAATTGCCAACCCAGTCTTCATCCATTACTTGAAGGCAAATTTTGAAGGGGGATTGTAAAAAAATGCTAATTAGGACAAAATGCTAATTAACCTTAACTTTCTTTGTTCATTATGCCTTGTCTCCTCTGATATAATTCAAATGATATAGAATTCCTGGAAACTATAATGGCTTGGCTTGCATGGAAAATGAACATGCTAAGGCTTTTTTTTAATGCAAGCATTAAAGCAGAATTAAATATAATAACTTATTAGATATGTTTACTTACAACAGGAAACAGATTTTGTGAGATGATTGACATACATCAGTGAGCCCTCACCAATTAATATGTGCCTAATAATTCTCTGTCTAATTTTTTCAGTTGCTTCTCCTGTTGTATGTGGTGAGTGATCAGTCCATGTAGAGCAGTGATGGCGAACCTATGGCACGCGTGCCAGAGGTGGCACTCAGAGCCATCTCTGTGGGCACACCTGCCATCACCACCGCCAGCTTGCGCAGGTCCATTAGGCCGCCGCTGGCACCCGGAGCGGTAGCCCCACCCAGCACAAAGGAGGTGAAGCAGCTGGCTAGCAAGCTCGAGTAGAGGTGGCAGAGCACGCCCCCATGCGCTTGCTGGCCTCTGTGTGCAGGGGATGATGGTGTCAAGCAGCAGCCGCCCCTGCCTCACCTTGCCCCGCAGCAATGGCACCCCCGCCCTACCCCCTGCCACACCGCGCAGAACGAGCCTCCTGCCCACCACCCCACCCACCAGAGACCCCCTGGATTTCCCCCAATCCTGCCCAGCCCCCACAGGCATCCCCCCCACGAGCAACATCAAGGTGGCCCCGCCCACCCTGGCCATGCCCACTCAGTCTGCCGTGACCAGCACAGCCATGCCCACCCAGTGGGCCACGCCCCCTAAGGGCACCACAATGTTGATGCGGCCCTGGCACTTTGCGATAAATAAGAGGGTTTTGGGTTGTGGTTTGAGCACTCGGTCTTTAAAAGGTTCGCCATCACTGATGTAGAGTATTAGTTAATGGATTCTGGAGTCTAGCTGCTCATGGATTTCTTGAAGGCATAGCTATATTAAATTATTGGGTTTTTTTATGTTTTAACTTGCACAATAAATAATTTTGAAATTAAAGTAAAGTATATGTGAACAAAAGCGGAACTCATTTTTATGAAACTATATCAAACAGAAAGATATTTGAAAAGAAATGTAGAGAGTAATTTTAAACAGTAATTCCATAATCAAACAATTGTCAGATGCTCTCCATTAACTTTTGCAGTGATATATTCCACCTGTTACTCCCTCCTTCCCCCGCAGCTTGCAGTTTGTCTGTTCTTGTCTTAAATTGGTACGATATTTAACTCTGCATAAACAATAGTCTGAAGGCATTGTATTGCCTGGAGACTGAACTGGTGTTTCAGGATCTCTACAGATATGTCAGAACTGTGAATGTTTACATGAAAGCAAGTTTGTCTGCAATACTACATACCCAGGAAATGTTAGCAAGGGTATTAAGAGGAGTATTACATATTTTTAAATGCTGCCATTGTATATCAGAAATATATACACATTTTTTAAGAATATGAAATTGTATTCCCCATGATATGCAATTGCTTGGTGGCAGAGATGTGGAGTTTAATATTGTAAACATTATTTAAATGGCAGAGACTTTTATACCACAAATACTGAATTAGCTGTTAAGGGTTATTCTTTCAATTCACAAATGCTAACATTAAGAAGCAGGAAGCTTTGAAACTTTGCCTCATGCTCTGTAGAAGCAATCAAAGGAACTGTAACTGAGTTAATGAACAAAAAATAAATACTTCTTCTGTAAAATAGCACCAAGAAAACATTTTATAGGCTTATTTTTTTTAAATTTAAAATTGCCATATCTAGTAATAAATATCTATTATATTAGTCAATTAGTATTTGATATATTTAATGAGCTATGGAAATTTTTGTAATTATTTTCATTGTAGTCCAGTCAAAAACTTTTAAGAAAATTATTTCAAGTAAACCGCTAGTCCCTCATAAAGAAGATCAAAGCTCTAATCAGCTTGTGATTGAAGAGGAGTTCCTTTACCACAAGGCCTAATTCCTTTAATTTGTTGACAACATACAGTCAGAAATGCAAAATCGAGAACAAAATACTGTTGAAAGAATTGGTCTGTGAGCAAGAAAAAGTTGCACTTCAGGAGAGGCTAGTAGATGTTACGGTATCAATGGGAGCATGGAATCTGCCCCACAGTTATGTACTGTAAGGAAACAAATGGCTTCTGCTCTAAACCAAGGGGCTTATTTCGAAGTATTTTTCTTGATTGCTTGTTCCTTTATTGTTGATGATTGATCTTAAAAGGCAGAAGCTACCTACCGTTCTGGAGAAGGGAGTGTGATGGAATGTTGTGGGCCGAATTTGCAGGAGGGAGGGGGTGCATTCCAGAGGAACAAAAGGCATCTCAGGTGAACTAGCTTTTGTAAGAGAAAGAGGATGAAGACATTCCCCACCATAATAGGTCTCAGAGTATATACACGTCATGTAGGTAGTAGAGTGCTTCAGCTTGGCAAGATTATGTCTATAGGTGTGGAATAAAAAAAGAAATCTAGTTGGAAGTATTACCATGTGTCTTTCTTGGTTTGGGGGTCCTAACAGATAGGGCAGTGGTTCTCAACCTTTTTAATGCCGTGACCCCCCAACCGGTCGTAAGTCCAGGACTAAACCGGTTGTAACCGGTTGTAAGTCGAGGAGTAAACCGGTCGTAAGTCGAGGACTACCCAACCGGTCGTAAGTTGAGGACTTTCCCTGCCCGGGAGCGCCACGCATGCGTGGTTCCGCCCCCTGTGCCGGCAAGCGGCAGAGACGGAGCAGGCCGATCACCAGCTGGCCCAGCTCAAGGGAGGTAAGGCACCCGTCAGAAAAGGGGGAAAAAATGGCGGACAGCCTTGCTTAGCGACCCCCGTGAAATGGTCGATCGACCCCAAATGGGGTCACGACCCATAGGTTGAGAACCGCTGAGATAGGGGAAAACTGCAGAGCATGGTTTCTGGAATTCTATCCAGCATTTTTAACTGCAGCTTCTCTCTGGGTCATGTGAGTAAGGAGAGGAATAGAATAGAGTGATGAACAGCATTTCAAACCGTTACTGCTCCCATTGGAATACATTGGGGAAAATGTTCTAGAATTCTTGTCTTTGCAACTACTGGCCTGATCTGGCCCATTTTCAGACTCAGACTTCTTTTGCTGATTTCTCTCCCCCAGCAGAATTAGTCTCACTCTGTTCAGTTTTTTTGGAACTCAGATCTACAAAGAATACCAGTTACTTGTACATAACTTGTTTCCAACATTCCTATGGATGTGAAAGAATAAAGACCCTTTAAAAAAGAGCAGCGTATCAGTCATTAGAGCTTATCTTAGAAGTTTAAAATTTAATATTGGTGATTTAACATGAAACTGAAGCAATGAAAACCACATTAAAAAGTTTTTAAGATTTATGTTTCTTGACAAATGTCTTCCTTGTTCCACAGTGCAAGCTAGTTTTGAATTACAGAAAGAAGGAAAAAAAATAATGTGTGCATAGTCTCTGTTTGGGAGATATGTGTATTGATGTGGAGATGTACAGTATTAATTGTCTGTTCCACTGAAGATGTTTGACTCCAACATTCCTGAACGTGATATCCTCTTTATGTGTTGGAATTACATCGCTCAAAATTTCCAACCAGCCTCAACATTTCCAGAAGGCATCAATTTAAGAAAGACTGTTTTGAGTATGAAATCTTCAAATAAATGTAGATTGTCTTTTCAATTCTTAATTAAATGCAAAATCCAGACAATACATACACATGCAAGTTTTGGGTGAAAAAACAAGCAATTGCAAATTACAATTAGTAGCTATAAGAAGGAACATAGATGGGCAGATACTTAGAATGGTGATTATTTTGTTGAATTTCTGTTGTGGCATTCCCAATAATTACAACGAGGCTTTATTTGTCACATGAAAAAAGTATTAGATCAAGTTTGTTTTTTCATATGATGTAGAAATACATTTGGTATCATATACTAGGAAAGAAAATGTTTACACAGGTTCCAGTGACTGATTTCTGTTCCTCTGTTTCCATTTTAGAAATCAGCTACATGCTGTGGAGATGACATAAAGTTAAGAGAAGAGAAAGACCACTGTAGTGCCAATTTTTTGGAGTCCGCTAGTAGTTGCACAACAGAACAAGACAAAATGGAAATCGAAGCCCTTGTTTCGGAACATAGAGACATAGAGACATGTGCAACAGACAATCAAAGTCACTTACTTTCAACTATTGCCAGTCACAATGGATTGAAAGACCGACACGAGTCTTTGGACAGTGAGGTTGCTAAAGAGATCAGATATCTTGATGAGGTGCTAGAAGCAAATTGTTGTGATTCTGCTCCTGATAACCCCTTTAATGGGATGACTTCTTCTTCTCCTGAGAGAAGTGTGCCTGTTGTTGTGGGTGGTTCTAGTCCATCTGTTCATATTACCAATGATTTCTCAGTACTCAGTGAGCATAATGGCGTTAAAGTCGGAGGACAAACACCTCCAGCCCTTGAGCACAGTGGAATTAATACAGCATCTGGGAAGCTAAAACCAAATGGCCATTTTGTAGAGGTATTGCAAGAGGAGCCCTGTGACACTTTGAAAGTGCCAGTCAGTCCATGCTCTTCCACAAGCTCAAGGTCTTCCAAGGATGGAGAGTTAACATTAGCTACCATTAAGAAAGAAGCCAAGTTTGAGCTGAGAGCATTTCAGGAAGACAAAAAGCCATGTAAACTTTTTGAGGAAGAGGATCCAAGAGAGAATTACAGAGTGCGTAAAGTGAGGCCTTCTGATGAAATAATAGAACTGGAAAAGGAGAGACGAGAGCTCATCAGAAGCCAGGCTGTCAAGAAAAATCCAGAAATAGCTGCAAAGTGGTGGAATCCACCCCAGGAGAAAACATTAGAGGAACAGCTGGATGAAGAACACTTGGAGTCTCACAAGAAGTACAAAGAACGCAAACAGAAGCAACAGCAACAGCCACCATCAATGCCTGTAAAGCATGCCTCCTATTCCTGTGCACCAGCAGATTCAGCCCATAAAAATCAAAAAGTTGATATTGTCACAGAACAAATAGATTTTTCAGCTGCTCGGAAACAATTCCAGTTAATGGAAAATTCAGATCAGCAAAATCATCCAGCTGCACTGAAGCGAACAGGGACCCCTAAAATGTTCACTATCCAGCCATTCTATAAACCAATAGGTCCATCCCAAATGGACCGGCGAACAATCTCTGTTACAAAACCTGTGACTGTATATGGACAAGCTAGTAATAATGATGTAGCTACTACAAATACTGAGAAGCTGACCTGCATCTCAGATGATGACAGCATTAGTCAGAATCTCTCTGATGGTCCTACAGGACTGACTCCTTATGGCGACTCTAGAAAGTGTGTTCAGGCCATCAAGATATGGTCAGATGATGATGAATTCACAAGTGCCAAAGCAGTCCTTACAGTGGTAAAGGATGATGAACACAGTGTATTAGATCAGTTCTCAAAATCAATCAGTATTTCTTCTCCTCCAGAAGAACTAGACTCTGGTTTAGATGAACTATCTGTCAGATCACAGGATACAACTGTTTTGGAAACTCTTTCCAATGACTTTAGCATGGACAATATCAGCGACAGTGGTGCCTCTAATGAAACAATGAATCCCCTTCAGGAAAATTCCCTTACTGATTTCTCCTTGCCCCAGACTCCACAAGCTAACACACCTGAGTGTCGAGATCTTCCAAAGTCACTCAGTGACCATGGCTTTTATTCCCCTTCTTCACCACTAGTCAACTCTGTGCTCACTGAAGAGCAGTTGGAATATCAGGCTGATCTCCTGGTTCAAAATGCTATTCAACAAGCCATTGCTGAGCAGGCTAATAAAATGAATCATCAGCAAGCAAATGTTATCCTGGGCCAAACTAATGGGCAGGAACAAGAGGAGCTGGACAGGGCACCATATTCTGAGAACCAACATGGTTCAACGTTTCAGCCACCTCAAGTGTCATCTCCTATGCAAGAGAAACGTGATACAGCACCAAAGATACCTTCAGCTCAAGATTCTGCACTCAGGGAAAAGCAACCATCTCCTGTTGCTTATACCACCCAAGTGGAAGAAATCAAGCCAGAAGTCAGCTATTTTAGCAAATATTCAGAAGCAGCTGAGCTTAGAAGCACAGCTTCCATTCTGGCTATGCAAGAAACAGAGGTGGCAGTAGGGCCTTTTAAATTAAGATCAAAAAAGCAGAGGACTTTGTCCATGATAGAAGAAGAAATACGTGCAGCCCAACAGAGAGAGGAGGAACTAAAAAGACAAAGACAAGATACGCAGCTAACGCCGAACCCTGTCATAAAGAGTGCGCCTCCACCATCCACCCGAACCGCATCTTACAAAACGGCACCAGGTAAGAACGTGGCATTGAATGTTTTCTTAGCCAAACAGATAATTGTTTTTAGATTATTTGGGTACAAATCCTCAGTGTTCCAGAACTTCTTTAATAAGTATTAATAAATGGCTTATTGGATCAGATTGATGGTAGCACCATATTTCCATAATGTTCATCAGCTGGACATGAAAATAACTGACCTAATCTCCAGGACAGGACAGGACAGAATTCTGTATTGGCCAAGTGTGATTGGGCACACAAGGAATTTGTCTCTGGTGCATAAGCTCTCAGTGTACATACATAGGTCTTAGATCATAAATCATGGTTATAATCATTAATCGTAAGATACAAACAAGTGATAAATCATAAGATACCACTCGGAGAAGATTGTAGGAAAAATGAGAAAAGATGAGAAATGAGAAGATGGGAAGGATGAGAAGATGAAAAGGATAATAGCAATACAGCCCTACTACATGGTTAAATATTTTTAGGCCTAAGACAGTGCTGTGGAATTAGGTGTTCAGTAGAGTGATGGCACAGAGGAAAAAAACTATCTTTGGGTCTAGTTGCTTTGGCATGCAATGCCCTATAACGATGTCCTGAGGGAGTAGTTGAAATAGGTTTTGTCCAGGAAGTAAGGGGCCTATAGATATTTTCTCAGCCCTCTTTCTGGTTCGTGCACTATACAGATCCTCAGTGGAAGGGAGGCTGGTTGCAGTCGTTTTTTCTGCAATTCTAACTATCCATTGAAGTCTATACTTACGTGTCTATATTCTAAGATACTCTGTGTCTAACCTTGTAGATGCCATTTATTTATAGTGACTAATAATAGTTCTGTTATCAGATGACTTTTGTGCTTCTTGTGGCAAAGATATCCATGTTAATTATGCATTTTAGAAAAATTGGGGTAGCGAGTATAATTATTAATCAGTTTCATTAAAGGACTCTGAATTTGTATGAGGATTTTACAAAAATGATTTGAAAGTTCAAATATAGAATGTTCCACATTATTCAAACTTTAGCTAAATAGAGCCATTGTGCAGCCATCACAAGGACAGCTATTTTGAAAATAAATTTTACTGACAGCTGGAAAAAGAAATACAAATTTTCATTAGAACTGAGGCAATATTTATGGATAGATCAAATTTTATAGCAAAACAGAAACAAAATTATGAGCATATTTTACGTTTTGAGATTTGTTTTTGCTGTATTACCAACCATCTTTAGTCTCATCGAAGTGTGAATGTAGGTTTGTTCAGTGGTATATATACTGAATAGTGTGTGTGTCTACACGTATGGCCATTTTATTGTTATGTATGTCATAAAATGTATTTCACATATGAATGACATACATTTATGGTAAAAAGTAGAGTAGCTGACAGCCAGTGGCAGATTTGTGGGTCTAGGAGACAATGGAAATTTGTTCTAGCAAAATGCTGCACGTCAAAAAACAATGTAGAATATAAGTTTTAATGTGTAACTGGAGGAATGTTAAATGTCAAGCCTATTAATATTCATATTCAGTATCCTTGAAGCCTGCAGTCAACTAGGCTAGAGACAGTCGGCGGTCAAGGGGGGGTGGGGCACAGTTATCTATTGCAACAAAAATTGGACAACAGATTTGGTATATGAATTGAACATATAAACGTGAGAAGGACTAGAAGTTCATAAAAGCTGACTTTGCTTTTACTGCCAAATTAGGAGCCATGCTTCAGCATTTTAGTTTTTCAGTTTCCTTTGTATTGTTTTTTTTATAAAATACAGTCTTGAGTGATTTTTTAAAACATGCCTAAAATGAACTAAGTTTTAAATTCCATAAAAGTGGCCTTTGCACATTTCATAGGCGTTACACTCTGAGTCCAAAAATTGTCTTAAACTCGCAAGTCCCAAGTGATCTCCAGCTCATAAAGGGAGTGTCTCGGAGTTCCCTAAGAAAAGAATTTTACAGAGTCAGACTTCTCTACAGGTAGTCCTCAGATTTACAATAGTTCATTTAGTGACAGTTTGAAGTTACAACAGCGCTGAAAAAAGTGACTTCTGACCATTTTTGACACCATTGCAGCATCCCCATGGTCACGTGATTTATATTCGTATGCTTGACAACTGACTCATATTTATGACGGTTGCGGTGTCCGGGGATCAATGGGGAAACCAGATTTGCTTAGTAACCACGTTACTAATTTAACAACTGCAGTGATTCAGTTAACAGATGAGACAAGAAAAGACGTATAATGGGGCAAACCTCACTTAACAAATTTCTCTCTTAGCAACATAAATTTTGGGCTCAATTATGGTCGTAAGTTGAAGAGTACCTGCAGTGTGTGGGTAGACACTTAGCCAATAGGAATGATGGAACTGCAAACTTCATCTGATAGTCTTATGATACAAGTAAGTAAACACAATAGGGTAGAACATATAAATGCACACTATTCATGGGACATAATTGTCTGACTTTGCATACATTTTTACGTTTTATTCCAAGATATTACTCAGTTTTGTTGACACTAGTGAGACTTGAATGTATTTAATCTTAATTTTGTTTCTTTCTCATGCAACACATAATAAATGAAACAGAAAAATAGTGCCATGATATACTTCCATGACCATCAGCTATGAGGCATGGGAAGTTCCTTAATTACATGATTTTGAAGCCAATATCATCTGCTAGAAGAATTCTTCAGAAACAGGAACTGCAAGTATTTGCTTTGCAAACAATCTCAGTTCCGGTTCCAAATAAATTGGCTGCATTTTAATCACAGCAATTCTGGGAAAGCAGCTGGATTCATCTTCACTAAGCTTGTGCTACTCTTGTTCCTTAGCACAAATAAATATTCTCAGTGTGTTTCACAAAATCGGAGGGGGAAAACCCAGAACATTGGTTAATAAATTACCACGTTTTTATTTAGCAGCAGATTAACAAGGGGACATTTTTATATGCTAGGATTTGAACGTGTAGCTGAGTCAGTATTTCCCAATCTTTAAGAGGATTCAACTGCGTAGATGTTTTTGGACATCCTGAAAAACTTAAGTGCACTTTAAGGGTGGATGCTGATAAATATCAACATACAATTAGAAAGGAAGCTTGGATTGTTCATACACCCAGATACAGGAAGATCACAGAGGCCTACGTAAAATATGACATAAAAGAGGAAAACAAATTAAGAAATATGATGATGATGCACCTATGTGCTATAACCACAAAGCTCTCTGTTATGACAGCTTATAGAAAAAGGAAAGGATCCTGCATTTTCTCTATAAGGTATGTGTATGTGTTGGAGGCTAAATCTCTTCTGATATGTAGCCTATTTACAAATTTCTTTGACATTCTTGTTCAGAGACCCGAACTTGGGAATATATAGATATTTAACAATAGATTGTTGTACTTCTCACTGAAACTAGGCTCTCCTGTGATGTTTGGGGAGCATAAACCTACCAAATAGATAATATATTTGAAAATCAGCACTTCTGATTTATTTCATTCAGACAGAAACATTCAAAGAAAAACAGACAAATTAGAGATAAGGTCTGATATGAGAAGGTTGATGACAACTTTGAATTGTCCACAAAAGTCCCATAATAAACAAGACTAATTTTATGCTAATCTGGAAACAACCAGAGAATTGACACTGTTTTGTTTTGTTTTTTAAGAATTATATTTTCAGTATCTACCGCTTCCCCCTAGAATTAAATCAAGTGTCACGGCCAACTCATGTTTTATTTAAAGTCATTCAAGCTGCACTTACCTTGTTGAACTGTGAATTTATAATCAGATTATAAACAGAAGCTTTTCTTCACATTTACAAGCAGTAAAGACATTGTTTATACTAATAGTCCATTTATAGCACTAGTATAAGGGTGGGGGGGATGAGAATGTTGATCTGGAAATGACCCTGGGAAAGATTAACTTTCTCTCATTAAGCCTAGAGAGAATCTTTCTAGTCCTCTCTTGCCCCCCACCACAAAAACATTCCCGGTCTCACAGTCCAAGTCTTGTTCAGGCCATCCTTCCTTACAACTGGTTTTCCTGTGATTTCCTTTCCTGACTTTTATGCCATCGCTGAAATTCTCTTTAAGGTTTAAATTTTCTTATTGAAATGCTATGAAACACTAAGTTTACTGGTTCCTTCGTTTATAAACATATACTCCCCATCCTTATGGGGAGGAATAAGTCAATTTTTCAAAAAGATGGGAAAAATATCTGTGTGCTCTCAACTAATTGAAATAAATTAGTTTTGCCTAATTAGTGGGAATTTAATATCTGTAGATAGCTAATAAGATATTAACTCTTTCTAGTACTCATCCCATTTACCTTTATGTAAGCCAGTTGCACGCCTGTCCACGGATGTTGATCATAATACTTTTTCGGAAGTCTAAATGTGTCCGTGAGAAATCCAGTAGTAGATTTTGTCTTAAACTGGGCCAATTCTAGTTAGTTAGAGTTTGACACAAAAAAAACCTGAGTAACAGTGAGGGCCAGGTCTCTCCACATCTTCAGATCTTGCATTATTTCGGAAGATGTGGAGACACCTGGCCCATAGAATCGCCAAGAGTTGGACTCAACTGAATAGATAACATCAAGTTCTGCAAATATCAAGCCTGCTATAAAAACAGTGAACGAGAATGTGTATGTATCACTAAACATTTCTAGAAACTGCTTACAAGAGGAAATCTGAATTTCAAGCTTTGATATTAGTGGTAAGGAGGATTGCCTGATGAAGAACAATATGTCACTCAAATATATTGGATATTTTAGACTCATTTTTACATCAGTACTTGACCGTTTTGATTACCCTTTTTTAATTTTCCAATCCCTGTCCTCTTAGGCCACAGATTTATATTATACTCTTCATGCTATCACAGCCACCTTATCCTTGCCACTTAAAGTTTGAGATTAAGAGAGCAGTGCTTTGTTCTGCGCAGGTCTTTGCACAGTTTTCAGTGAGGTATAAAGCCATCTATCTGGGGAGGGCCTTCTCGGTGGGAGCCCCCACCCTTTGGAATGAACTCCCCCCAGAGAT